TTGATGAATTTTTATTCTCTTTTTTTTGGTCATCATAATTACAAGGCTACTGCATCTCTATAATCTATCATTGACAATTTGAAACAAAAAAAAATCCTCCATACAACCTTTAAAACTCTGAGTTTAGTGGATGTTGCGCGTCTTTTAAAATACTCTGGGACGTCCTCTGTAACTGTTTTGAGTCCAGGCGGCTCTGAGGATGGACAATCACCTCACTCGCCCATTTAACCAGCTGACTCAGAGAGTTCTTGTTCTTTAGCAGAGACGCTCCCAAACCATGAGACCAATGAAAAAGTTAAAACAGATTCCATAAACTTTTTACAGAACAGTGTCATCATGGTTCTGTGTACATGGTAGAACGACAACTTCCTCAGACAATGAATAGCATTTACAACCTTTTCAAACAGTTCAAGCCGACATATAGATCTAAATATGTTATGTGTTAGCAATTAATACCCCATAGAAGTGTTACATCTCCATGGAGACAAGCAGGTGACAGCCCCTCCGGCAGGAAAGTTCCACAGTGCATCATTTCTCCAGAGAATCGCCAGCGACACTACCAAACATGTCAATACATATATATAACAAAGTAACATATTGATCAAAATATGTTATGTGTTATGCAATTAATACTAATATTGAAGTGTTAAATCTCCATGGAGACAAGCAGAGAAGCAGAAAAGTTCCACAGTGCACCTTTAACAGCAACATTTCTCCACAAAATCGCCACCTACTCCACCAGACGTATAAATCATGTGAATATATAAAGCATTTTCAACATTTTCAAACAGTTAAAGGTAACATATTGATCCAAATATGTTATGTGTTAGCAATTAATAACCCATAGAAGTGTTACATCTCCATGGAGACAAGCAGGTGACGGCCCTCCCACCAGAAAAGTTCCACAGTGCACCTTTAACAGCAACAGTTCTCCAGAGAATCTCCAACAACACTACCAAACTCATAAAAAACTTGAATAAATACCTATAACAAAGTAACATACTGATCTAAATATGTTATGTTTTGCGATTAATACTAATATTGAAGTGTTAAATCTCCATGGAGACAAGCAGAGAAGCAGAAAAGTTCCACAGTGCACCTTTAACAGCAACATTTCTCCAGAGAATCGCCAACGAAACTACCAAATCTGTAAAAAACGTCAATAAATACCTATAACAAAGTAACATACTGATCTAAATATGTTATGTTTTGCGATTAATACTAATATTGAAGAGTTAAATCTCCATGGAGACAAGCAGAGAAGGAGAAAAGTTCCCACAGTGCACCTTTAACAGCAACATTTCTCCAGAGAATCGCCAACGACACTACCAAACTCGTAAAAAACGTCAATAAATATCTATAACAAGGTAAAATACTGATCTAAATATGTTATGTTATGCAATTAATACTAATATTGAAGAGTTAAATCTCCATGGAGACAAGCAGAGAAGCAGAAAAGTTCCACAGTGCACCTTTAACAGCAACATTTCTCCAGAGAATCGGCAACGAAACTACCAAATCTGTAAAAAACGTGACTAAATACCTATAACAAGGTAACATACTGATCTAAATATGTTATGTTATGCGATTAATACTAATACTGAAGTGTTAAATCTCCATGGAGACAGGCAGAGAAGCAGAAAAGTTCCACAGTGCACCTTTAACAGCAACGATTCTCCGGAGAATCTCAATTATCCATCGAACACTTCTGGTTATTTAACCCACAGACACACAGAGAAAAGAAAACACACACACACAAAAAAAACCCTCCTTTGTAATACCTTAACATCTGTTATGGTTCCCAACACAAAAGATGACCGCATTTACAGCTGAATAACAGAAAGAAATCGCTCGGCTTGTGGAAAAGAAATGAACGCCGGGGTACAAAGCTTTATTGCGGCATCATTAGCGAAACAGCACTCGTTATTGATATGGTATTGTGCGCATGGATCGAGACCACAGAAGGATTTCCTATTCAGCGGCTGCAATCTAGGGCTTCAATATGGCATATAAAACGATATAATAAATCATTACGGCGGAGTGGAAGAAGCAAAAGCCGCTATCCAAACAACATAGTCCCGGCCACAACCCCTTCTCCGTATTGTCTCTCCAAATTCAATCGCCTTCCCCTCCTCCTCCTCCTCCTCCTCCTCCGCGTGCTTCTTTTTATTACAAGTCTCATTTATTGCGGTTGGTTCATATCGGGGGCTTGTAAATGAAGTTTTTGCAACAAAGGTTATTGAAATAAGAGCGCAGGATCCTGGAGGATAAGTCGTAGATGTAGAGAAGGGGAAGTTAATTGGGTTTTTTTTGTTTTTTTTTTTTTTTTGGAGGGGAAAGGTTGGGGCTGGTTACCATGGCGCGCTACCTGTTCAGGACCAAAGTTTACCCAGGGACGTTTTTGTGGTCATGCCTATATTTAAATTTCACGTAATATTACTTTACTAGACCGTTTCAGTCCATATGGAGTCTAGAGAGCTGAAATTTGAAATGCCACTCGCCTAGAGACAGATGATTTTTTTAATATACATTTAAATTGGAAAAAGTTATAAATTGAGAAGAATTTTAGAGTTAGACTTGATTATTGAAGCACTCCTAAATGTACAATAGTTTAGTATCTATTGAGGAGCACTATGTAACTTTTCTGTTTGGGGTCTGTAACCAGCTCGTTTCTATGGAGATGTCTTTGCTCTGCCTGGAATGTTCCACACTGTGACATTAAACGGCTCTACCTTTTCAGTTATAGCTGGTTTTATAACACCGAGAAAAACAGGTATAAGCGGGGCCGCCTCTCCGCAGATCTGACCTGTAACTAGGGCTGGGTGTCATTAAGAAGCTGCCGATACGATACACGCATCGATACGTAGGCCACGATACGATACATATCTCGACACAGTGCACATTTGATTCGATACGATACGGTTCAATAAAAAATAACGGTGCAAAAAACATCTTGTGCAAAATTCATATGAAACACAAACATTTTAATCAGAAAAACTGTGAAAATGTCAAATGTGTGGAGTTTCCTTCCTCCAAACGAGCAACAAAACTGAAGCTGTAACAAAATAATTTAGTAAAATACACCAAAAAATACTCCTGGTGATATATCGACACAGCAGCCCACGATATCGATACTGTATCATCACATAAACGACACGATATATCGATATTTTGATATTTTTGCACAGCCCTACCTGTAACTAGGTCTGGTTTGGTTTCCATGAAGATAGAAAGCCATAACATCTCCATGGACAAAAGAGTTTCACGCACCAGAAAAGTTAGACAATGCACTCTTAATTAAAAAGAATATTTAATTACAGTTCATAAGCTGCTGTAGTTCGATTTCCAGAAACAGTAGGTCCATCCAATAGAAGTGCATAATTAAAACGCCTGATTTTTAGTGTCATAAAAACGTGAAAAACAGAACTTAAGTAAGTATCAGTGTTGATGTCTTGTCTGGAAAAGGGAAAGACAGATAACACAAGATTACTCTTCTTTATACTCCTTCTTAGGGCTGGGCGATATGGATCAAAAAATATATCTCGATATATTTTGCTATATCTCGATATACTATATATATCTCAATATATGTTCAAGAAAAAATAACCCCGTAAAACTGAAAACTGCAAAAACAAATCCAAAAGTCCTTTTTTTTTAAATTAAAGTGTAAGAGGTCGGCAGTTCATACAGGAACATTTAAGATTACAAAAAAACCTAATTACATAAATAATAATTTAACTGTAAAATAAAAGAAATAATACATTTAATTAAAATAAATAAATCATACAATTTCCTTATTTTCATTCATAAATAAAACAACTCAACTCAAGCTCATCTTTGCATTAACTCTGTTATCCAAACCAGAACCAGAACCATGAGCTCCTTTAGCAGAAGAAACTCAGGATGTTCATTATTTCAATAGATCCATGTTATTATCCAGCGTCAGGATGTGAGGTTTAATCCCACAATCCACTGCAGATCAAACCCAACTTTTCCAAACACTATTGTACAAGTGACACTGCAGCAGATTATTGATTAAAATCTTCTGCATAAATAAACTTTACATTATTAAACTTTACAATAAATAAAGCAGAACTCTAGAGCCACATCAGCCATTTTGAGATAATAATGTGTTTAATACAGTTTTGCGCACGTGTGTTTACATTTTACAAAAACGAAACTTAAGCTCATGGCTCATTTGCATAAACAGCACTTCTCACGCAGCTCAGCTCGTTTAGCTTCTTTCGGGCTAAAGGACGTGACTCGGTGGAATATGAGGATGTGCTGCTGATGGTTTTGTCTGTAAATAGTGGAAAAGTTACATGGTGCTTGAAGCTTTTCACTGGCAGCAAGTTTTGGCGTTCACGGCGACAGTGACGAGTGAAGGAGACACGAGCGAACAAAATTAGGGAGGCGAGGGCGCGGGCAACGACAGAGAAGGTAAACAAGCGAAGCGGCAAAATCAAAATTGAATATAAACATTATATCGATATATACGATATGTCAGAATTCATATCGAGTTTAAAAACTATCTCGATATATTTAAAATATCGATATATCGCCCACCCCTAGTCCTTCTCATTAATTTCTTATAAGTTTAATATTGTGACACTGTTGACGTCTTTTTATACTTTATGAATCAAATAAATACACAAATAAATAAATAGAATTCATTTCAAATAGTTTACAAATGTCCAAAGATTCTTGGCAACATAACGAATCAACATGATGAGTGTATAAACGATGTTCACAACTATTAGAGGCCAAAGAGGAGTTTTTGTGGTGAACTAACAACAACTAGCATGCTAATAGCGCACAAGTCCATCTATAATAAGATACAGATCGCACACAGCTGTCTCATTTTGACCCTGAGAGCTGCTTTTATAATATATCTGAAAAAAATAATTAAAAAATGAGATGGATTGTATCAGTTTATAGACTTTTGCAAACATTATCCAAACCCGCTGACCCACCCCATTCTTAAATTTCTATTTCCTTACCTCTTCAGGTCTTCCCAGAGCTGGCGTCCCGGTGAGCAGGATGGCCCTCTTGGCGCTCTGGATCAGTGGGACCAGGATCTTGGTGCGAGCGGCGTTTCTCGATTTGAGGTAATGAGACTCGTCCACCACGACCACAGCGAACTTCTGCCTGGACAGAGCCTCCACCAAAGAACGGGCGTCCGACGTCAACAGGCCGTACCCCAAAACGGTCACTTTACTCCTGCTGATGCCCCTGTGACAAGACGAGTTTAGTTAGTTTTTAATATCTTAGTAACTTCATTTGTATAGCTCTTTTTATATATTTGAAATGTAGCGCGAAGTGGTTCACATGCAACAAAAAAATTAGAATAACAAAATAACAAAATCCGCAAAATCTATGTAACTTTGCCACCATGGATATTTTTTTGTTTTGCCGAAAATGTTCCAAAGATCAAACTATCTATCCATCTATCTATTTATGACAGGGGTAGGTTTAGGGGTGTGCAAAAATATTGAAATTTCGATATATCGTATTGCTCAATATGATGATACAGTATCAATATCGTGGGCTGCTGTATCGATATTTCGCCAAGAGTATTTTTTGTGTATTTTACTAAATTATTTTGTTACAGCTTTACAGTTTTGTTGCTTGTTTAGAGGAAGGAAACTCAACACATTTGACATTTTCACCGTTTTGAGAATTAAAATGTGTGTGTTTTATATAAACTTTGCACAAGAAGTGGTTTAACAAACACTTTTAGTATCACAGCCATTTTTCTTCTTCCCACTCCTTTTCGAGAAATGTGCTTTTCTGTTGTTTACAATGTATATGTAGAATGTGTATGATTATTGTTTCTCTCTTGGCACAATTTTGAAATAAAAACGAAATGAATATCCAATTGCTGGTGTTTCTATCAGTCAAAAATGCAGTCGTCCGTCAATATAACGCGTTTCACCTTTCGCGGTTTCGTTGTTTTTTTTGTGTGCAATTTTGCATGTTGTTTTTTTTTACAGTGTATGAACGCATGTTGTGTTCCTCCCCCTGCGTCCTGATTGGCTGAGGGACTGTAGACCATTATCAATAAATCTCCCCCGTGCCGTGTCTCCTGTACAGTACAAAATGTGTTCAGTTGCCAAATTTACATAAATGTTCGATCTCTAGCAGTGTGATTCTGAAGTGCTGCTGCATGTTTGTAAGTTTTCTCCCCGACAAAACCCACAATGTCGACGAAACGTTCTGCGCCGATGAAGGCTCCTGCGCTCGTACAAAAAAAAAGAGGAAGAAAACCATCGCACAAAAAGTTGGACTTCTGGACACGCTGAATGAAGGCAGAAGTAACGTGGCTGTAGGACGCCATTACAGAATAAATTAATCTTCGGTTTGTTACATAAAGAAGAATGAAAATACCATAAGGACGACAGCAGCGATACGTTTTAAGAAGCAAAAAGGATTGTAACTGTCATGTCTGAGGAAAAGTGAGTAAAGTGTGAGGTAAGAGGTTTTACAGCTTTAAAACATATAGAACAGGGGTGTCAAACTCATTTTGGTCCGGGGGCCATATCCAACCGACTTTGATCCCAAAGGGGCCGGATCAGAAAACTCATGACATATAAACCCCAAAAATAACAATAAGTTCAAATATTTGTGCAGAGAAACAAAAATCTATTACAGAAATCTTTTTTAATTAATGAACAATTTCTTATTATAATATTATAATATCATGAACAACCTGAAACTTTAAGAAAAATTCAATTTCAACACAATGTTTTAACATTAACTTGTGTGCAAACAGGAATAAGTCAATTTTTCTTGTAAAATCCTGCACTCTGTTCCACTTTTCTCATTTTGGACATTTTGCTGATGAGGGTGTCACGGTAAACAGTCAAAATGATCGTAAAAAAAATAATAATAGAAAAAATTATTAAAATATTTTAGTAGAAAAATCACCCAAGGGCCACATTAAAGGTCTTGGAGGGCCGGATCTGACCCTTATGTTTGACACCTGTGATATAGAATAATAAGGCTGACTACTTCGCAGATTTCATCGATTGTGGGTTATTTTATAGAACGCAACCCCCGCGATAAAACTGTGATTGTGGTGCCTCTCCACAGATCTGACATGTAAATTGGTCTAGTTGTGTCAAATGACCTGTCTAAAAATAGATCAGTTTCAGCTGGATTTGTCAGGAAAGTTCATGGTGTTTCAGATCATATGGGCTTGATTTGTGGTGTGCCCCAGGGGTCAATCTTGGGGCCCCTTGTGTTCATATATCGATATTGTATCTCACCTCTACTGTAAACACACATCGGTGCACTTTATCCTTGTATCTAAAGTGCTTTTCCTTCCTGCCTGATAGACTCTTTCACTGCAGTCTAACTCTCCCCTCTGACTCCCCTTCGCTCACTCGCCCGGTGTGGAAGTCAGTAACAGCTCATTTTGATGGACAGGCGACTGGCTCCTGACAAATGAATCTCAGAGTGTGTCCGGATGTCACGAGGCTCCAAAAACCTGACACTCAAATCATGTCCCGCAATATTGAACAGGAGCTGTGATTTTAAATGTGCGGAAGTGGGGAAAGTGCTGCTGAGGGCAAAAAGAGACCTCATACTCTGTTCATACGCTGTCACCGTTTCATCGATTCACTGTTTGAAGGGAAATTTCTGTTTTGCACATACATGTCCAGCCAACAGAAGTGCATAATTGAAGTAGTCTTATCTGATTTTTACCGTCTTAAAAAACGTAACAAACAGAACTTGTTCTTTTTACACTATTTACATCTGTCCAAAGTTAATCCTAATTTTCCTAACAGATTTTTGACAAACTAATTATTCACCATGATGAGTTTATAAGTGCTTTTCACAGCGTTTAGAGCCCAAAGCGGAGTTTTATTGTCACCGTAACTAGAGCTGGGTATCATTGAGAAGTTGCCGATATGATACATACCTCAATACATAGGCCACGATACGATACATATTTCGATACATAGGCAACGATACGATACATATCTCGATACATAGGCAATAATATGATACATCATGATACATAGGCCACGATACATACCTTGATATATAGACCACAATACGATACATATCTCGATACATAGGCCACGATACGATACATATCTCGATACATAGGTCACGATACGATACACATCTCGATACATAGGCCACGATACGATACACATCTCGATACACAAGCCACGATACGATACATATCTCGATACATAGGCCACGATACGATACATATCTCGATACATAGGTCACGATACGATACATATCTCGATACATAGGCCACGATACGATACATATCTCGATACATAGGCCACGATACGATACATATCTCGATACATAGGTCACGATACGATACGATACGATACGATACACATCTCGATACACATAGCCACGATACGATACATATCTCGATACATAGGCCACGATACGATACATATCTCGATACATAGGCCACGATACGATACATATCTCGATACATAGCCACGATACGATACACATTCTCGATACATACGATACGATACATATCTCGATACATAGGCCACGATACGATACATATCTCGATACATAGGCCACGATACGATACATATCTCGATACATAGGCCACGATACGATACATATCTCGATACATAGGCCACGATACGATACATATCTCGATACATAGGCCACGATACGATACATATCTCGATACAGCGCACTTTCGGTTTGATACAATATATATTTTTAATCGATTTGATACATTTCAATGTGATACTAAAAGATAATATATATATATAAAAAAAAAAACTTTATTAAATTAAGTTTCTTTTAAAAGAACATATAAGAGCAACAGAACACAGACAGACTGCCAGACAAGACAAAATAAAAAGGAGAAGCAAACAACTCACAGTTATAAAAAGTCCCATTAATCAATTTGTGATGATCTGGCATTGAGACAGGAATGGTCCCAATATTGCTTCATTTCTCTGCTTTTTGTTCATAGTGTCCAAACGAATACGCTGCATTTGAGTAACAGACACCATTTCACGAAGCCACTGTTCAAAAATTATGGGTGTGGTGGACTTTCGTGTCAACAAAATACGTTTTTTAGCCACCACCATCCCAAGCTGCAGCGCCTGCCAAACGTCCAATATGAGCTAAAAGTCTTTGTTAAACCACTTTTTGTGCAAAATGAATATAAAACACACACATTTTAATCATCAAAACAGTGAAAATGTCAAATATGTCGCATAAACGTGTCTCCTTTCACTAAACAAACAACAAAACTGTAGCGCTGTAACAAAATAATTAAGTAAAATACACCAAAAAATACTGTATCATGACATTAAATGATACGATATAACGATATTTAGACATTTTTTGCACACCCCAAATTGTGACGCCTACAATAAACAGCATGCCAACAGCGCACTAGCTTTACTCCCTGGTTCACTGTGAATAAAAAACGCTTTATAATTAGATGCAGGCGATACACAGTGGTCCGATTTTTTGTGAAATTATAATATCATAACCATATTGAACAGGAGATGTGATTTTTTTTAATGTGTAGAAATGAAAAAGTGCTGCTCAGGGCAAAAAATGCTGTTCGTAATCTGTTCCTACGCTGTCACCGTTTCATCGATTCACGGTTTGAAGGGAAATTTCTGTACTGTTGACGAATGTGCCATGCAAGCCTTTTACAGGAGACTTGGGCGATTTGAGGGGAAAGTGTAATAGTGATATTTATGACAAGAATTGAGATTTGATTTGCAATTTGTCAGCGTTTTTGGTGTTTGTTTTTATTTTTGTGTGTACTTGGAGTGTGTAGAGGGAGGTGGGTGCGTGAGGGTTTTGTTTTTGTCTTTTTTTTATTTTGAAAAACAACATAAAACATTAAAATAAAATAATAATAATATAAAAGATTTGCAATTTATGTTTTAAAGGCACAATATCTGACTTTATGGCGGTAACATGACACCTGAATGATGCCATAGAAATAGAAAGTTAAAAACATTCTTCACGGAGACAGATATGTTTTATACTAAAATGAAAAAAAATAAACAAACATTCATTTATTTTGGTCTGTTTTTAGGCTAAAAAGTCTGACTTCTGTGCTTGCAAACAATGATTTTGACACCAAGTACTAAGTCTTTTTTTGGCGTATTTCACTCAATGAAATGCAAATCAGTTTATATATTTTCTTTAAAGTTATTTTCTGGATTTTCTTTTTGGTATTCTATCTTTCAACGTTAAAATAAACCTAC